GCCTTCCTGCTCCTCTGATGCAGCTTGGCCTGCTGTGTTCATCCAGCTCTACACCTTGTTATCTCAGCCTGCTATTGTCTTGGGTCTGCTACTTTTTTTATGATTTAAAAGTACTTTGATGAAAAATGGAATTTTTAAATTTATAACCAATTATATCACTTCTGTTTGTATATTTTTTAACTTCATAATTTTGTTTAGTTATTTTAAGAATTGTTCCCATCTTTTGAAATGGACTACTGTTAGAATGTAGCTTTTTCTAGAGTGCCAAATTCTCTTTGCATTGCAGATCTCTTTCCAAAAACCAACAGGTGAAAGAGTTCTCGTATGCAAGCATTAAATTTTAATGTGATTATTAATGATGGTTCTGATTGTAAACTTCTTAGACAAATTGTTGTGTACTCTCGTGCAGTCACTTTATAAGATTGAAACCAGGGGTGTACGTCTTATTTGTGGAATCCTTGTACAAATTTCATCAGTTCAATTAATTCACATTGAATGCATGTCATAAATGTCTCTGTTTTGAAACATGTAAATGGATCACAAAATCCTGGATGAATTAAACAATCCTTTTTTAAGAAAAGAGGCATGTTGCTTTCTTTTATATCTTCATTATACTCTGCTGTTATACAAGCAGAGTAAGAAGAACAACAAAGAACAATACAGCACAAAAACAGACCATTCGACCCTCCAAGACTGCGTCAACACATTTTGCCCTTCTGTACTAAAACTGTCTTCACTTACAGGAACCATATCCCTCTATTCCCTTCCTATTCATGTATTTGTCCAGGTGCTTCTTGAATGCTGCTATTGTGTGTGCTTCCACCACCTCTGGCAGCGCGTTCTAGGCACTTACCACCCTTTTTGTGGAAAAACCTGCCTCGCACATCAGTGTTAAACTCTCCTCTCCTCTCCCACACTGGCACCTTCAACCTGTGGCCCCTCACAATTGACTCCTCAACCCTGGGAAAATGCCTCATACTTTCCACTGTATCCGTGCAATTCACACGCTCATAAACTTCTATCAGGTTGCTCTCAACCTCCTGCATTCCAGTGAAAACAAACCCAGTCTATCCAACCTTTCTTCATAGCTAAAATCCCCCATACAAGGCAACATCCTGGTAAACCTTTTCTGTACCCTCTCCGAAACATCCACATCCTGATAGTGTGGTGACCAGAACTATACATAATATTCCAAGTGTGGCCTAACTAAAGTTCTGTAAAGCTGCAGGATACCTTGCCTATGTTTATACTCGATGCCCCTTCCAATGAAGCATTCCATAGGCCTTTTTTTTTCACTACCTTATCTACCTGTGCTGTCACCTTCAGTAATCTGTAGAACTGCACACCCAGATCCCTCTGCAAATTAATACTCCTAAGGGTTCTGCCATTCACTATATAATTTCCATCTGTACTTGACCTTCCAAAATTCATCATCTCACATTTGTCTGGATTAAACTTGAATCTGCCATTTTTCTGCCCCTGCCTCCTACTGATCTGTATCCTCTGACAATCCTCCTCAGTATCCACAACTCCACTCCTCTTTGTCTCGTCTGCACACCTACTAATTAGACCAGCTACGTTTTCCTCCAAATCATTTATGTAAACCACAAACAGCAGAAGTCTCGGCACTGATGCCAGTGGAATACCACGAGTCACAACCCTCCATTCTGAAAAGCATCCTTCCACTGCTACCCTCTGTCTCCTATGACTAGGCCAGCTCTGTAAACATCTTGCCAACTCACCCTGATACCATGTGACTTTGCCTTTTGTACCAGTCTGCCATGAGGGACCTTGTCAAAGGCTTTACTGAAGTCCATGTAGACAACATCACCTGCTTTTCCCTCATCAATCATCTTTGTCACCGCCTCAAAAAAAATTCGATCAAGTTGGTGACACATGACCTTCCCCGCACAAAACCATGCTGTCTATCGCTAATCGGTCCACTCGTTTCTAAATGCGTCCCTGAGAATCTTATCCAATAATTTCCCTACTACAACATGAAGCTCACAGGCCTGTATTTTCTTGGATTATCCCTGCTACCCTTCTTAAACAATGGGACAACATTGGCTATTCTTCAGTCTTCTGGGACCTCACTTGTGGCCAAAGAGGATATTTAGCCTACAGTGTAAAATTGGTTTACAATAAGGGATTAAAACAAAACAAAATACTGCAAATGCTGGAGATCTGAAATAAAATCGAAGTGTTGGGAAAACTCTGGTCTTGTAATATCAGTGAAAAGAGAAACAGTGACTCTTGATTTGCATTCAGAATCTTCTCACTTGGATTTCTCTTGTAATTATTAAGAGTGTACTGCTTGGTTTCACTGACTGTATTGTGATTGAAACAACATTTTTGTTGTTGCATTCTATATGCTGAAAATGCAGTATCATAAATGGTGTTTTGAAGTACAGATACCAGAGTGTTCCATTTCACTTGTACATCTAAAAACCGAAAGAACTGCGGATGCTGTTCACTTGTACATCTGTTTGGGAATGCTGGAGAGTGCCTGTACATTCGTGTTGAGGGGTACTGTTGATTTTTATTGGAGTAGGCCATAAAGTTGACGTTGATACAAAGATGGCATTTTTGCTTTGAATTAAAATGGGTTTAGTTCATGTAGTCCAAGAGTTGCATTCTAACCCTGATGTATATCAGAGACAAATCTGTATCATTGACAGTGCTGTGTGATTTGAGAATATTGTTTATAGTCTGGTCCAGCCAAAGCCGTGATCTTGGATGTCTGCGGGACACCTTGTGACATGGTACAGAAGTTTAAGTTTGAAGTGAAATACATTATAAGAACCAGGAGCAGGAGGAGGCAATTCAGGTCCTCAAGCCTGCTCTGCCACTCAATGTGATCATGGCTAATCTCATTTTGGCCTCAACTCCACTTTCCTGCCCACCTTCCATAACCCTTGAATCCATTACCAATTTAAAATCAAGTGAATTCCACAGATTCACAACTTTTTTGAGAGAAGTACTTTCTCCTCATCATTTTAAATCTACAATCCCTTATCCTTAAACTGTTACCTCTTGTTCTTGCTTCCCCCATGAGGAATCATCCTTTCTACATCTACTTTGTCAAGCCCCTTAAGCATTTTGAATATCTCAGTTAGCTCTCCTCTCTTCTTATAAACTCCTGAGAATATAGGCCTAAACTGCTCAATGTCACTTCTTAAGACCTCATCTCTGGAATCAATCTGGTGAACCTCCTCTGATCTGCCTCCAATACAATTACAGTCCTCTTCAAGAAAGTGGACCAAAATTGTCCATAATATTCCAAGTGCAGTCTCACTAACACCTTGTACTGTTGCAGCACACTTCCCTACTTTGATATTTTATTCCTTCAGCAATAAATGCCAAAATTCCATTTGCTTTCCTTATTATCTGCTGTGTTTGCATACTCGTTTTCTGCAATTCATGCATGAGGACACCCAGATCTTTCTGTCTTGAAGTACTGTCCATTTAGATAAATTCCCTTTCTATTTCTTTGACCAAAATAGATAACCTCACACATATCCACGTTAAACTTCATTTGCTAAATTTTGGTCCATTCACTTAGCCTTTCCATATCCATTTGTAAATTATCTTGTTTGTTGCAACTTACTTTGTCACCTACTTTAGCATCATGTGTAAATTTGGCTGTCATACTTTCTATCCCCACATCCAAATCATTAATATAGATTGGAAATAATTGGGGCCCAAGGACCAAACCCTGTACCCCAGGATTTACATCTTGCCAACCAGAAAAAGACCCATTAATCCAGACTCTGCTTCCTGTCGATTAGTCAATCCTCTGTCCAAGGTAAAAATTACTCCTAACCCCATGTGATCTTACCTTGTGCATTAACCTTTCGTGCAGTGCCTTCTGGAAGTCCAGATATACTACTTTACAGGATTCCCATTATTGATGTTGCTTGCTTTGTCTTCAAAGAACTCTAGCAATTTAGTCAAACATGATTTAACCTTCATAAACTAATTGTCTTTGGTAGATTGTATGTTGACTTTCCAAGTGTCCTGTTAGTACTTCTGTTATGGACCAGACCAGACCCCCTCAAAATATTTTAAGAAGGTTGCCTCAACTCGAACATTTTCTTATTTTAGAGGCAAATGTAAATTGCCTGTTCCAGATGCAATGCGACTGGTCAAACTACACAATGAGTGCAAGATGGCGGCAGGGTAAGATGCTCCAGTTGGAACTCCTCTGCTCGCCAGTTCCTTTTCTTTCTTTTCTCCTCCTCATCCTCCTTGCAGTATTTCTTTCATGCCACCACCAAAACCCCCCATCCTCCTTGCAGTATTTCTTTCGTGCCCCCCACCACAAGGGGGTTGAGTTGCGACCAGAGACTGGGTAGAAGCTGAGCACGTGGGCCCCTGTCCTGCAGTGGAAGCAGAATGGGCCAAGTTGCAGACCGAATCCTGGAACAATGGCAGCAGAGTGAGCTTGGGCCAGGCCAAGTCCTAGAGTGATGAGTCTGGCCAACGGCAGCAGGAGAATCCCTAGTCCACAGCAGCATGGGGTGAAGCGAATCC